CAGAGATGACTGTCATACACAATTTAAATCATAAACTCTTTTTTAATGAATACATATGCACCTGCTTTTATAGTTTATTTTAATCTTCACATCTCCTAAAAGTTGACTGGCAGAGAATGCCTAAGGCATTAAGTCCACCTTTTTACAATTGTGCATATAGAAATTAATAAATATTAAGTCATAAATATCATGTTATTTTTAATAGACGTCCCATTATTCTGTCAGATCTATTAATATACTAAATTTTTTTTATAGTGTACTTCGTATCCCCTCTCACCGTTTATACCTTCCATGGACTTCGGGGAACATTTCAAAACCAAAATCAGTTAAATCGGCCCAGTTGTTCTCTAATTTTAGCGAGACAAACGAAAACCAAATGATACCCTAAATTTTTTGAAAATGGTCTAATATTCATGCAAAAAGCAGTAGAAATCCTCAACTATTACGTGAATTGGTTGATATTACATCAACAGTACAAACGTGACACGCTATTAATCAAGTTGGCCAAAGTCCATAAACAATATGCTTGCCCAACTGTCCAGGGATCGGCCTGGCACACTTACCACACGCAACTAACTGAGCCACTGATGACTTCGCGTAATAATCGTTTTACTATAATGTACTTGATTGTTTTTTTATTACTATGAATTTTCGCTTATCTTATTTATTATCATATATTTTGTTATAAGTTCAGGTTTATTTGCATGTACTTGAGTGTAAATTTAAATATTATTTTTTTATTGTAAAATATGTTTTTTGTGAAAACCATTTATATTTAGTTTTCTTTTCTTCTAATCTTAAAAGGTAATTGATATTGCTGGATTCTGTATTCTACATGTTTTCTTGATTGAAAAATTCTTTGGTTAATTTTACATGTCAAGGCGAATAATAAATGGAATCAAATAACATAATGAGTCAAGTTGCTTAATGATTACAAAAGCACATATTTTGAAAGATTATTGCTTTTCCTCTAAAATACAGTTATAATAATATCGATAGGTAATTAAATCTATAGAAATTACAGATGAGAGAACATTCTTGTATTTGTCTATAACACTGGAATAAATAATACCGTTCACATACAATGTTCACACTATAAATTTGTAGCGCTCTAAATAAACAAATGATAATTGCTGTTGTGGGACTAGTGTCTTGCCATTAATGAAACAACTTTTAAACAGTTTCATCGCGTTTCTATTTTTCTTTTATTGTTCTAAAGAATACTATTAGACACATTCATGCAATTAATTTTTTTTTTAAACGTTTACATTAATCTAATTAAATTATTTTAAAAATACATTTGACCTGGCTACAGTAAACACCAAATTTGGGAGTCTTATCTGAGAAGAACTGGCGAAACAAACTCCCTTTGATTTAATACTTACAGAATGAACTAACCATTGTAAAACCAAAAGATACAGTTTGTAAAAGTTAAATTTGGAACTGGTGGTAGTTTATGGTAGCCAGGGGTAAATAAATAAGTCAAATATATTTGTAAAATTACTTTAATAAAAGTTTTCATAAAATATAATACATTTAACTTATTTATTTACCCCTGGCTACAGTAAACATCAAATTTGGGAGTCTTATCAAAGAAGAACTGGCGAAACAAACTCCCTTTGATTTAATACTTACAGAATTAACCATTGTAAAACTAAAAGATACAGTTAGTAAAAGTTAAATTTGAAACTGGTGGTAGTTTATGTTAGCCAGGGGTTAATAAATAAGTCAAATATATTTTTAAAATGATTTACTTTAATAAAAGTTTTCATAAAATATTTTTTTTTGTATTGTGAATGTATCCAATAGTATTGTTTTGAAAGTAGATAACTCTTAATTAAAGACACATCAACACCTGTCTTATGTAGTTTGTGGTCTTATCTGAACACAGAAACTGTAAAGGGTCCGAAACGTCAATAAAAGAAAAACGCAAACGCGACGAAACCGTTTCAAAGTTGTTTTATTTATGGATAGTGCGCGTGAAAATATAAGAAATCGTCTTGCCATTAATTTTCTATCTTAATTTAAATGTATTTAATTGAAGATAAGACATTCTGCAGTTCCATTAGCGCAAGTCAAATATTTTTTGTTGACTCAAAGGTTATCCTTTATATTATTTACCTTCAAGAAATTTTTATGTTTTTATGACGATTTATTCACAAAAATCTATTACATATCATAATTATATAAATGCCGTTTTTTTGTATTAGTTTAAGTACAGTCCTGTACTGTCAAGGATATGTGTCTCCGGATGATTATTATCAATTAAGGTATCTTAAGTGATAATACAAATGGAAACACTACATAGTTAGGATCTCCTAACTTTGTAGTTTTTCCTACTTCATTATATATGGTTCTGGAGATCCTCTAAGGGACCATTTGAATATTATTAAAGAAGACTTTTTTAGTATCACCTTCCTCCTTTTAACCATAGGTATGCAAAGTAGTATGTTTATAGATATGTAGTAATCTTTAGTACACAAATATCAATCGCTCGAATAAAAATTTTAATAAATTTTGCACGAGTAACATAAATTACAAATATTTTTGTCATAATCCGACCCCCATTTTATAAAAAAATCATCAAAGTATTTGATGACATTATAGAATATATTTTACAAAAGTAGTATATTCTGTTGTGACAGTACCGATAAAGGTGTTTTTGACATTAGGATATAAATGATTATACAATGTCATCGAACAGATAAAATATTGTATATCTCAGCTAGGAATATGCATCTGGCCCACGGCTCGATGTGTTGATAAATCTGGTCGGTATTACGGCGTACGGTGCTGATGATAGTTATAAATACACTTCCAGCTAGTTGTTACACGATAATTACATGTGAACATTGCAAACTCAGACGAGAAGTTAAGGCTGTATCGATTTTTAAAAACTCGCCAAAGGTTGATTTTCCTCTTTTTTAATATCAATTCCAAATAAAAACAATGATAGTAAAACATTTCCAGTTCGCCTATAAAAAAAGTACAAATATTGTCGCAGATCACAGCGCCTGGAGGCACCAGCGCCTACGCAGCGCCAACACCTCCTGACTTAGTGTTGAAACTGCAATCCATAAATCATATACCTGCCCGGCACACCGTGGGTAAATAGCTAATACGACGCACAATATTATTTACATTTAAATTTATGCGTGCAGAACCTACTATTACACGTATTTACATACGTACCTGTGTTCCTATACACTTACATGCAACTACGAATGATTTGTACTGTAATTGTTATCTACAGTTATCGAACATAGCGATCTGTTTAGAAGGCACCACTCATTTTTTGTAATCTTTACGAATGCTTAGGTGGAACCGAAACGACTAATTTTTTACATTAATTGAGACAGAAAAAAGAAAGAAGGTCCAAATAAAGTGAGAAAACTGCGACTATTTCTAAGTGCGAATTTCTTACATTTTCTTAAAAGAAAACAAATTACAAAGTCAATAAATAAAAATATATCCAATGAATGCTTGACATAAACAAAAAATAAAGTGAAAAATAGTATTTATCATTCTAAAAGACAGTTTTATTCTTGACAAAACTCCCACATTTTAGGTTTACTTTCGTTACGGGTACTCTATCATGCACGACTACCGTCTCTCAATAGAATTATCGAAGTTTCGAAAGGATTTAGATAAATTCATGGTATGGTGCCAGCAAAATAAAATGACGCTCAATATAAAAAAGTGTAAGCAAATAAAATTCACTCGTAATCGCAATGTAATAATACATACTAAATACAAATTAAATGAAGAGATTCTCGACGAAGTTCAGGAAATTCGAGGATTGGGCGTTCATATCGACAAACAATTGCATTTTAATAATCATATTAACACCTATGTCTTAAAGGCTTCAAAAATGCTTGGCTTTGTAATAAGGGAATGCGAAAATTTCATAAAACCTCTAACTAAGATGGTCATGTAAATAAAAATAGGGGATATAATATTTCTAAAAAGACATTATGGGATCTGCTGACTGTCCCTATTCTGCAGTTCCATTAGCGCAATCTTTCTAAATTCAACTACTTTCTAAATTCAACTTTAATATTCCATGTCATTTGCGAAATCTGGCAGTAGCAAACTTTTCCATCCACCTAAGAGTCGTACAAATCTAAAGTTGCACTGTCCATTATCGCGAGCAACTGCATTTTATAAGGAATACCAAAATAATATCAACCTTGTTTTGACTTCCATGCCTGCTATTAAGAAACAATTCAAACACTAGAATTGTAACGTGTACTATATATATATTTTTTATTTTTGTTTATTTTTAAGTTAAAACTGTAGCCGGTATAAACGCGTTCTCACATATGGACGTTTTGGTCGCTCGGCTGTGACGCTCGTACTTGTCTCTCATAGCAATACCAGGGATACTGTGCTGCAAGCGTACTGCTGTGGCTCGTCTGGAGCGCCTATGTCTGGGAGGAGTGTGTACTGATCTATCAATGCAAGCGGTGCCCTCCTATAAGTAATGGGACACATAGTATATAACCTTGTCATTGTGTAATTTTTAAGTGTAGTTTTAGTGTACTCATTGTTGTGAGAGCCTGATAAATAAATAAATAAATAAGATTTAAGCCGAATTTCCATTACGAATCTAATTGCATATCATTAATTTTGGTAGTAGTTGCAAGTGTAAATGTCCACTTTACCAATGCATGCATTAGTTGACTCTAAAGTAGTTTCAAGCGATGCGCATATTTTGATGACACTAATTTTATTTCGATTTTGGCACTATCTAATTTTATTTCGATTCGACACGCAACTAATTTTATTTCGATTTTGGCACTATCTACGCATAGTAAACCTTTTTGGCACAGGTTACATAAGATGTTGACGGAGCCAGTGTCTTAAAGACACTGTTGAATGCACGCTACGAAACTAATTTTACAAGTGCCGAAGTTAGTTTATTTTTGTGGTTAGATTCTTGACACTTGTTTCGTTACGTAAATTCGGCTTTAGTGTTCAACCATATGTAGGAAACTCACCAACGAGGCGGATCGCTGTTGTTTGTTGAGCTCGTGAATAGTTCGTGAGCGGTCCTCGCCAGCATCAGACAGTTGACCTGACTTGCGTGAGCTGTGAACAATAGTTTTGTTTACTAGACGCACGAAACTTAAACATTGTGTGTTCATTCATAAAAAATCTTTACCATATGATTCTCGCTTAATGAATGAAATGTTATTTAATGTACACCGATATAAAAATGGAGAGAATATGCCCATGTGACAGTCGAAACCCATGTATATATAACCCGTCAAAAACTTTTGACTGCAAAAGTGAAAAGATTAGGCCTTGCCTACATAGTCACGTTTCTCCTGATGCGAGCCGGGTGAAACGGAGCAATGTTTTAATTTTACAAGCATTTCAATAATTTCAATATAAAAAGGCCCCCTTCTTTCCATTCATCTCCACAAGTCTCTATTTATTTATCATGACTCTGGAGACAATATTTTTTTCTCCAATAACGAACGAAATCAAACTCCTATTTCTGCTTGTTTGCAGTTCACTGGTCTTGTAAAATGAAATTTTATTTTTAAATGAAAGAAAAAAGCATTAGTTTTACACATAGAAAATAGTTAAATTTAAAATTCTATGGTATTTTTTACTATCGTTATGAACGTTTTATTAATATTATATAAATAGTAGTAGCATTTGACTAAGATCAATGGTCAAAAGTACTTTTGATTGCCAAAATCGGTCAAAAGCATTATTGACGTCATGACATCAAAACCAAAAATTCTTGCATTCAAAAACAATTGGTGACCTTATCACTAAAAAGTAATTTTTTAAGAAGTTTGCTTTACACATACCGGGCGTTTTACACCTGGACCTAAAACTACCATTGTGACGGACAAGACCTACCTGTAACGTTCAAATAAGTTAAATCATTTTTTAAGGAACAAACATATGTTTCTGTTTTGAGTATTATTATTAATAATTTGATTGAAAAGAACTTGACTGCGTACGTGGCCAGAATTTGGTTAAGAAACTATAGCTTAAATAAAATACAGGGTCTTATGTACCCTGTGCCGCACCGAACAAGTGGATTTTTGTGCAAATTAGTAAAAGTTTAGGGAAAAACAGATTTCGATAATTCTAATTAAGTTTTATTATAGGATTAAGAGGGAAAAGAAATATTCATTTATGTTTCTCATCGAAGCTTCTTTTATTTTCGCTTCTTTCGTAAAAAAAATATAACTTTTCATATCAGATATGTATTTGTGTCTTTCCATCACCGACCTGCGCATGACAGAGAAATATATGCTTTACGTACCCGCATTACAAACGAGGCATGGACCAGGGTGTTGCACTGAATGTATTTATAATGAAAAAAAAAATATTCGGTTGGTTCTTATTAAATTATTGCAGATACACAACCTTAATATATACTTTCTCGTAGAAAATTTACTAGTATATTTCTATACATTGTTATAAGACAACGCATGGGCTCATTGGTTTTGTGTGAACAACTCCAAGTTGATAAAACAAGTTTGTAACCGCAGGAGATTTGCAGTAATTCTGTATTTCGTATTAGGAAAACCTTAGCTCGCAACTGTATGAAATAAACACGGTAGCTTATAAGCTAAGATTAAAGATTATATAAAGGTACAAATACTGCAACCATAAAAAGAGTAAGTTGCAGTGTTGCTAGATCAACAATCTCAAAGCTTTCTAAGGCAAAACCTTATAGAAATAAAGAATAAATTATATGAGCAATATGAACGAACACAGAAGCGATTTTTTATGAATATGATAATACTAGTGGACGCCCGCGACTTCGTCCGCGTGGAAGTCGGTATCCCGTGGGAGTGAGAAGTTTTCCCAGTAAAAAGTACCCTATGTGTTATTCTGATGTATAACCTATATTGCTGTAAAGTTTTATCCAAATCCGTCCAGTAGTTTTTTCGTGAAAGAGTAACAAACATCCATACATCCATACTTACAAACTTTCGCCTTTATAATATTAATAGGATTATGTTTGTTTATATTCAAAAACTTGTTTTTATATCTGTTTACGATCTCGTTGACGCCAGAATATAGAGGTAATTTTGTATTTTTAAAAACCATTACTCAACGTTATTTCTTATCGCAGATAAATGAGGTCGAATTACTTTTTACTAAACTACAATATTATAGACTAGTTGACACCATCTTCGTACAAAATAATAAAATATATCATAAGTTACTCGCTTGAAAGGTATTTTTGAAAATTTATTGAATTTCTATTTTATACCAGTAGTTTTTTGTTTATCCATTACAAATAAACGAAAAATTCAAATTTTTCCTCCTAACGATATTTAGTGTGTATAAGTCATTAGTTAAAGATTAAATATGATATAAACGTATGAAACAAGATCTAATTAAAGTAATATGTTAATGTCGAAAAATATAACGTAACTACAGTCAAAAGAACTGCTATTATACATTCAAACAAAACCATGCCATTTTCAAGTGTATTATAAACAATTGGCAGCACTCATAACAATGTTTTCTTAATAATTACATTATTAAATTATATAACCTAGTAGTGCTAGTAGTGACGGCAACCTTGGGTATAATTATAACGTAGAACTTGATATGAATCTCGATAATGACTCTATTAGACGGTTAATTGTTGATATTTTAAATAAACTGCAGTAGATAACAGAATCTGGCATAATTCGCGTGTCTTATTTATTTGTATAGAGACAGACCTTGTTCAGTATTACTGTGTGTATGAACTTGAATTTTATTAAGCCAGCAATTAAATAACAAAGCTATCTCAAAAATATAAGTCAGACAGCTACAGGCACTATTTATGACCTCATTGCTAGGGCGGGGCAAAGGTCTCCATTATGGATGGAATTTAATCGATCGAATTGGCCATGAGCCATATGTTTTCTAGCGATTTTCCCCATATAAATTAAGCTTAAGTCAAGCTATAATTTACGCGGATGAAAACGCGGGAAAACAGCTAATACTTACCTTATTTTAAAATTGAGCTAGATTCTCACGACGTAAAGTGTCACAAATACAACAACCCTACAGAGATATACACCAATACACGTAATTCTGTTATTATGTGTAAACTTGCCATAATTGCACGTCGCGTGACAACGAAAAATTTCCTTGAAGGCTTATCATGATATAGTTAGGTCCATTTTACATTAGTCATCTTGTTTATAAAACTTCGGTTCAGTGGTTGTAATAGAACCTGTTATGTTACTCATCTCAATTTATACTGAATATTATTAGCTATTAGATCGGTGTGACTCCTGGACGGGTGTGAAAAACAAAATATTAATAATTATTTGCTAAAGCTAATTATTTATTTTTTTACGTAAAAAAAGAACCCATCTGCAAACAGATTTTAGACAGAAATTCTAAAAGTAAAGAACTGTATGAAACGGCAAATAGGTATATCATAATAATTTTTTTTAGACAAGTTATTAATCTGAAGATATTATTGTGGATAACATAATCACATAAGATTTCAATAAGTAATCTAAAGTGAGTAAAGGTTGTATTAACCTGGCGAGCTTGCGGTGCGCGCGCCGCCCGCCGCTGATTATCGACAGTGTGCTCATCACCGCCGACATGGCTGCTGATCACCGCACCATCACACCTGTAACAAACATATCACCTGTGTAAATACAACAATAACCATAGGATTTTGAGTCAAAGTGGACTCACGGTCGAAATCGGTCAGAACTACTGCGTATTATGATTGATATCATATTACGTCGTAGTCATGTAAAAATCCAGCCTACGGCGTGACAAAACAACTAATTACCAGTGGTCGGAATTAGGTAGAGTTATTCATGTACTTACACTGATTTCATACAGCGAAAGAATAAAGTGGATATGTCTCAAATCCCGAGATTAATTTTCCCGTGATTTTTTAAATAAAAAGTTATTTACTTTTACACAATTTAAACTACTGCACGCACGACGTTGCCAAACTTACATCAATGAAAGAAAGAAATAAAGAAAGAAGAAATAAAGAAATCCCGGGAAGGTCCACATTAATATCAACATTTCGATGCAAGTACATAAATAACTCTGCCTAATTCCGACCTCTGCTAATTACTCGAATTCGTAATAACAAATAACAGACTTCTGTATTTATAAACTAAATACAGACGTAAATATTCAATGATCTCAGTTTCTCACAGTTATAACTCATAAGATTTACGATGCTTACATTGTAATAGATATGTGTATCGTGGTCGCGGATGATGCAGCGACATAAACGCATGTAAATCAGACACGGCGGCTGCGCAGCCCGCCTCGCCGCAGACAAATTGTACTACCTACTGACGGCCGACAGAAACAGACATAGGTCGCAATTATGCGAACCTTCTTTTTCATTCATACTTTTGTTCATATACTGCTTCATGGTGATTTCATACGAATTTATGTACGTATCACGGCCCGATAAACAGATTAAAAGCCGTTTGTTTTAATATCTCATCAAAAATATAAATGCGAAATTGAAACCAAGTTCAATGTTACGTTATCAAACATAGATACAATAATGATAATTTAGTTAAGTATGAATAATACAACGTATTATTTCTCATTTGTAGACTAATCATGCTGAGTATTGCCAGCTCAAAGTAATTTTTACATATCAACTCACACATATACGAATCGCAAGCATAGAATTTTCAAAAGGATATTCTCACAATCTTCCTAAAGCAAGCCGCTCATTATAATTTCATTTGGGAGTATAATTTCACGATAAAAAGGCGCGAGCTCCGCGGATCGCGGCCGCCAAACTGAGCGTTTTGGATCGCCCGAGAAAAACTAGTCTGACAACCTGATTTCCAACATTTTTTCGTGAATGCCACACGCCAGGCGAGCAGGCGTGCGTCGCCGCTTCTTTGAAAAAAACACTCACAAAATCGTCGTGCCATTTAACACCCTTTTCCGGAGAGGTATTGGTTACTTTGTACAACAGGAACTAATGTTGATTTATAATTTAATGGAATTTTAATTTTAGCACAATGAAATGAAATAAAAATATTTTTATTCAAGTAAGGTTAATTTCCAGCACTTTTGAATCGATCAAAATATTTTTTCCCCTGCCACTTGTTCAGGACGTATTTTTGGAATTTCATGAATTTTATATATCTGGTTTTATGAACCTACACCAGCACGCTCAACAGCTACGAAAGCTCTGCTCACATCAAACGGAAAGAAGTAGCAACATATTTATTTTATTCATTCCCTAAGTGAAGAAAATAGAATATTCTTATTCTTATAATAAAAGCCAAGAGAAACAAAAATTAGTGGTACCTAGTAAAAAAAACGGAGTTTGATTTTCTTTCTTGAGATGTAAAGATTAATTAATAACTCTTTTGATTTGATTTTGAACATAATAAAACACTGCTTCTAATATTACATTGTAAATTATTCTAATGATCTTAACGAAACATTATCAGCTGGATATTAACTGTTCGGTGTCCGCCCCTAGTGAATATATTATAATAAATTTAATCTACATAATTCTTGTTGAGTTCAATGAAGTTTTTTTTATTAATAGTATTTGAATGCTATAATTAATTCAACGAATTTGTAATTTAAATAAATCAGTTTTTTTCTAATCATTTCAACAAAGTATACGGTATACTAAAAAAAATGTTAACAAAAATTTTGGGGTGACCGCCTTAACTAATGAGCTACCTGAGGCCTTACACTGTTGCTTTTCGCTACTGGTGAGCGTTTTTGATCAATGTTAAGGCAATCAACCCAAAAATCCGAAAGAAATATTATTACAATTATTTGAAACTTTCGATTAAATAAAAAATAGAAATATGCACTCACTAGTTGTCTAATTTGTATGTATATACTGTGATGAATTTATTTATTAAATTATCGTAAGCGATATACGTGAGAAAACCTTAAACTATCATTGTCTAATTTAAAACTAAAAATATACATCAATAGGTAGTCGCCGGTACAGCATTGAGTGAAATTTTCAAAATGATGTCAATATTGTAAGGGATATTTAAAAAAAAATTTTCTCCTGTAAAATACACAAGATGGCGGTTACGATGTTCTTCCTGAAAAGGTTCGATATTTAAAACTTATAATTTGGATAGGTAGAATCATAGTAAGTCGACATTAGTAATGTAATATTATGTACACTACCTGGAATGATTTGCATCATTAATTGTTCGAATTGTGGATCTTATACTTATTTCACTAAAGGTTATTTCGAAAACATCACCCAAAAAACCAAATCACCAAAATCTTATGTCTAATATAGTAAATCCTGAAATTTTGTGTATCCCTAGTTAAATCCGATAAGGTGGGTTTTTAATAGTATACAATTATTGCTTACAATATTACGTTGAAATGCGACTTACCTCATTTATCGGCCGGTTGTAGAGTACAAAATTATTGCCTATGTATGATAATATAATCTGGTTCGAGATTGAGTCGTAAACTGAGACTCATCATTACTATTACGTGATCTGATCCGGATAATCTTCAGATTCCAATACCAGACTAGGCAGAGTTAATAAACTCTAACAGTGTTATTAAAAACAAGGTTTAGCGTTGCAGTAAATTAACGCTGAGACTGCACTTAGTATTAGTCAAAATTCATATTACTAAATATTACTATATAAATATTACTAATAATAAGTCATATTACTAAACAGAGACTTGGCAAAGGTTAACCTAATACGAGATTCTACGGCAGTAATATCTACTACTAGAAGGTAGTAAGTAGGTTTGCTTATTCTCTGTATAATATGAATTTGGGCTAAAACTAAAATTTCAATTTTAGCGTAAATTTACTCTGACGGTAAACCTTGTTTATTAATAACACTGAAACAGTTATTCTGTTGAACAAAAATAGCCAAAGATTGCAAAAATGTAGTATAAATGTAAACTAAACAGACTAATATGTTCAGTGTCTTATTGCTTAGCAATACTTCTGATCGTATAATTGAATCTTAATAATAATTCACCGCCATCTTTTTGTCTGTAGTTCAAAGGGATCTATCACTCAATTGTCAAGTGTTTTAGGTCTTCAAAGACTTAAAGCTCATTCTACTATGGTAGCTATTTTACATAGGTTCCGATGTTCTGAAATTCTGAACACAATCCTATTCAATAATCCCTACGATCAAATTAAAAAGTATATCATCACCCTACATATTATTTTCTATCAAAAAATCTTCAATATCTTACAAAACACAATATAATAGGTACCGTACACAACTGAGGTCCTGTACATAATGTCGGTACCTAATTTTTATAAACGTCAATTATAACGGTCTGAAGTCCAAAGACATAGCATTTACCTTTCCAATTATTGCGGCTTATAGAATTACCGAGGCCAACGTAAACGGAGCACTCCTGCGGCGAAGCACGCGACTATTATTACAATAATGCGAGAATACTCATATGAATAATACCTACTTACATTATTACCCATTAATAATATATAATGTTTAAAAACATAGGCATAATCAAACGAACTTATCAGAATTCTATCATTAAATGTCCCACCCGTGATTTTCTACCCACCCTGGTTATACCCTCCATCCAAACGTGTCAGTGTCTAACTGGAGGCCAAGCCCTAATGATATCTCTAGATAAGCCCATCATATTATAATTTTATTATGTGATTCAAATCGAGATGGTTTTATTCTTCTTTTTTAAATTTGGTCTTAAATATTATGTTCACAGAATACCTGATCTACCCCTGCGGGGGTAATGACCCCTACGCTATGAATCACTAACATAGATAATTTTCCTTATTTCATAAGGTTTGAACTAGAAAATTTACCTTCATATACACATAAATATTATTTTTGTGGTATGGACACTTTACCCGAGAAGATTAATCTAAATCATTAAGAATGTGACCAAAACAAATGAATCATAAAACCATTTTTCATAAAAACATCATATTTCTTAACATATTTAAGGTCCAATTTAATAAACGGTATAATGGAATTAGATATTAATTGTTTCAGGCGTTAGATTATCTAATAGAATAACATATTAACCTTAGATACAGAATTAAATGACGCGGCTCATTCTTGGTTGATTTTCTTCGAGTAATCTGATTACTCCTCTTGAGCGAGGTGACGTATAGAAAACATCCAGTCATCGTGTCTTTATCAGGATCCTGACAGGGGACGGTCACTACGTCGCCGCCGAAATGCAAGTCATCACCGCTGTAAGATGAATTACTGTAGTTGGGCAAAAACTTGTGAACGTAAGAAATTTATTAACATCTAGATCTTAACAAATTTCTTATGTTAGCCAGTACTTCGTACCACTCTTCGCCGTTTAAACTTAACCTTCCCTGGACTACGATGAAAAATTTAAAACCAAAATCAACTAGATCGGCCCTGCCGTTCTCGTGTTTTGCGAGACACCTGAACGGCAATTGATTTTTACATAGGTAGGTTAGATACATATTTAATAAAGATAGATACATATTTAATGATTTTTAACACAAACAAACAAAAACCGGTCATGTCCCTATTCTTCTGATGTCTATCCTATTCAGAATGTTACGAAATCTTTACTTTTAAAGACTGATCGGTCATGTATTTAAATTATTATGATCTATCTTTAGTTTTATAACTCTTTTTT